GGGACCTCAGGAGGTCATCTAGTCCAACCCCCTGCCCAAAGCAGGACCAATTCCCAACTAAATCATCCCAGCCAGGGCTTTGTCAAGTTGGGCTTTCAAAACCTCTAAGGAAGGAGATTCCATCACCTCCCTAGGTAACCCATTCCAGTGCTTCACCACCCTCCTAGTGAAAAAGCTTTTCCTAATATAGTGGGTCCCATCAATTGCCTCAATACAGTTTGGGAAGCTGGCGTATGCAAAGCCACCAATAATCTCCCGAGCATTACACCAAGCTCTCTAAATTGGTGAAACAGCACCTTTTCCATGGCATCCCATACCTCCATGACAACAGCCGATATCCCCATGCTGAACTGGCTGGTTACAGACTGGCAGCATTTGGGGGTGGCCAGTTTCTGGATGGCAATGATAACCCACTTGTCCACAAATACGTGGCACCACATGATGGTATACTGCCGCTGCAGCTTCCCATAGCTCAGCACATATCTCCGAACAGGCTGCCTTCCCCGTCAGGAAATTCTCTCACCACTGCTGGTCATCCCAGATCTGCATAACAACCTTTCCAACCAATCCATATTCGTTTCCCAATCCCAGAAACAGCCTGGCACAGGGTGAAGTTGCTCCAGGAACCAATCCTGTACTATCAATTGTTTGGTGTCTTCCTTTTCTTCCTCGTACTGCTTCCTCTGCTGTTGAAATTTCTGCTACTGTTAGAGGTGCAGTTGCTGCCACATCTTCTGATTGTTGGTATGGTGGGCAAAGTCCATAACTGAATCCATCCAGCTTTGAATGCTGAAATACAGCTGAAGCAGCTTTTGTTCATTCACTATTGCCAGCATGGAGCATTATTGGGTCCATACTTGCTGACAAAAATTGGAAAATGGCACTAGCCCAGATAAAAATTAAGTATAGGATGGAGACAGGAAAAAAACGGGAATTTTTTAAAAATTTGAACTTGCCTGGCTTCTGCTATGCATCCCACAATACACAGGAAGAAAAATTTCAGAATGCACACTGCTCAGCATCAAAGCAAAGAACCATGGAATACCCTGCAAGAATGCCACGCCCTTAGTATGCAGTAAGCCACCACTGTATATACACAATGATGTGCAATGAAAGAAGGCACACCATCTCACATGCACGCTATTAGTTTGGTTTATGTAATGTTTGTTACCTGACATGCATCAAAAAGCTGTGGATTAAACTCCCCCCACCTTCCTCATATAGACAAAATCCCAATTACGCAGATGGCCACTAGGGGGTTCTGATATTCATCTTATTTGTTTACTAATAACAATGTATTAAAAAAATTAAACAACTGAAAATAATCTGTGCACATTTGTCTTAGATGTGCAATTATGGGAGCAGTAAGGAGGTGGGAGAAATCTCATTTTGTTCAGGGAGAGAAAAGAAAGAATAGGAACAGAATGTGAGGCTTTTATCATGTTAGGACGGCAAATATCAAACATGTTCATTATTACTGGTCATGTTTATTATGGTAGTGCCTAAAGACCAACCAAGAATGGGGCCTCATTGTGCTAGACTGTACAGAGTAGCAGACAGTTTCTGCCCTGAAGAATTTACAATCTAAAGTATCTTCAATTTCTTTGCATTTTATTAAAAGGACTCTGGTATTTTCCAGACTGCTATTTATATAGATGCATAGCATAGGAGGATGTTTATATATGGTACTGTCTCCAAACAGTTATTGAACTGTTAATTATTTGTTACTAATGTTTCACAAAGCACATTTAAGACAAGAAATGCTGCATGTTTAAACAGCTGGAGTGAAATATACTATGTATAATTTTTTGTATTTAAGTTAATAATATAAATTCTGCTTAAAGAAGCATTGGATTTTACACTTAGCTATGGAGCTGCTATGACGCCTTCAAAATAGTAAGTTAACTTATTGGTACCTAAAATGGATCATCACTGCTCCTTCTTTCCAAAGGCTCTCTTTTCATATTATATCTAAAATAAGTTCCAGTACAGGCTGAATTGATTAAAACCTGATATCCATTCTATGGCCCCAGTCATGCACACACTTGTGCACATGAATAACTTCTCAATATGAGTTGTCACACTGGCCTCAATGGGACTATTCACGTAAAGTTGTGCGTGTAAGCATTTGTAAGATCCTCTGGATCCTATAATCCTCTGAATGAACCTGCGAAACACTTTTTTTCTTTTTGTTTTTTAATGATTAATAGGTATATGCTGTAATATAGAGACACTAACCTGGAATCTTTTAATCTTGCCAACAGTGCATTTAAGTGTTCTACACAATTTTTAAGAGGATATTAAATATCACATCAGTCCTTATGTATTCAAACATTATAAACAATGCTAACTCACTAGGATTTGTGTACAGCTATGGATATTCTGCATGTACTGTTTTCACAGATTATATACTTAAAAACAAATTTGGAAATAAAAGTCTTTAGTCTATAGTAAAGTGCAGATCATTACTAAGGCTTTTAAAAACAAAAAACAATCTTCCCTTTGAGCAGCGTAATGGGGACATCACTACATTTACTGTGAGCATTACAACTATTCTGTCTTGCTTTCCTGTCCAAGGATTATATGGTTTTCAGTTAGCCTAGAGTTTACATTAAATACAGTTATATTAATACAAAACAAATAAACGTATTTGAGCTCCTGAGTCAATTAAGAGCAGAACAATATGTAGACTGCAAAGCACCATGCAAGTCTATGGCACAGTATAGTGTAATTCTGGGAATTCCTAACACAGAATGCACATAAGCCTTGTTTAGTTTGCAATTATCTTAATTTTTCTGTATACTTATTGACTTGCCACATCAGGGCAGGTCATCAACTGCCTTTGTAATTAGTTGTCATAGATACTTACTGTACAAAAAAGCTCAGGAAGAAAGCAGCTAAATTTTCCAATGAAGTTGCAATTCTTGACACATCAGGGACTCACTTTATACTTAAGGCCATGTTTTTGGCACAGGTATTTTTATTAAGAGTCACGGACAGGATGTAGGCAATAAATAATAAATCACAGATTTATTGAAGCCGAAGCCCGAGCCCCGCTGCCCGGGGCTGAAGCTGGAGAGCAAGCCCCACTGCCCAGGGCTGAATTATTGGAATTTTCAAAACGCCATGGAGGTCTCATAAAATCATGGAATCTATGACAGATTCATAGCCTTATTTATACTGTTCCTTAGGTCTGATGGTGCTTTACAGACAAGACATTGTCCCTACTCCTGACTGAGTCAGGAACTCAAATCATGTTTATTATCTGTACACCAGACACTAAATGCAAAACACTAAACTCCCACAGCAGATTTCACAACCAGGCTTCCCTCTGCACAGCCTCCGAAATCATCCAAACCCCTCAGTTATAATAATGGGCCAAATCCTGCAGTCCTCAATACTTCATCTCATCAATATCAATGGGGTATTTGCATAAGGGGACACCATTCTCTGAAGGTAGGTATATATAACAACTCAAAGAAGTTATTGAAAGCAATGTCAGGTAACTATTTTAGATCTTTATGATGGACAAAGATGAATAGATAACTGGACAGCAAATTAGTGTCTTTCTAGGGGACCAATGATCATCACATTCATGGGCAAAGAGAGGACAAATCCCAACCAGTAGTATATATACGTGGAGATTCCAAAGGGCTAATTAAATGTAATGATTAAAAGCCCATCCTGGTTAAGAGAGGAAGTGACGGTAACAATTAAAAATAATATATAAACAAACATATTTGAAAAAGGGAAATAAACAGCAAGTAATATAAAATTGGAAGTTATGAAGGTGTAGAACATTGATGACAGAAGCTAAAGACCTCTCAGAAAAATCCATACCTGGCAGGTCTAAGGACAACAAGCAATTTTTATTTTAAGTATATTAGGAACAAATGAAATCCTAATAATAGTACAGGCCCATTGCTAGATGGAGATGGTAGACTTGTTTATAATGACGCAGAACAGGCTGAAGTGTTCAAATAATATTTCTGTTCTGTATTTGGGAAGAAGTAGAATGATGTACTCATATTACATAAGGATGATGAACTAATTTTCCAGTATATTAATAACCCAGGAGGATGTTAAACAATATCTACTACAGATAAATATTTTTAAATCTGCAGGCCCAGATAACTTCCATCTATGACTCCTAAAAGAAATGGTGGATGAGATCTCTGGCCTGCTGATATTAATTTTCAATAAATCCTGGAATACTGGAGAAAACTGGAAGAGTACTCAAGTTGTACCAATATTCAAGGAGGCCAAGAATGGGAGGCTATATTCTGGAAAAGATTTAGAAATCATACTGGACAAACAACTGAACAGGATTCCTGTGCGATGCTGTGGCAGATGGCTAATGTGGATCCTTGTTTATATAAAGTAAAGTAGGGAGTTAATTTTACCTCTGTATGCAGCATTAGTGAGATTGATTCTGGAATACTGCATCCAGTACTGCTGTTCCCATTTTAAAAAGAATGTTATAATTTGGAGAGTGCAGAGAAGACCCACAAAAATTATTTGAGGGCTGAAGAAAATATATTTAAATGAGAGACTTAAGGAGCAATCTGTTTAGCTAATCAACAAAAATATCAAGAGGTAAATTAATTATGTTGTAAAAACAGCTGCACAAGGAGAAAATAAAAGGTACTAAAAGCTCTTTAATCTATCAGAGAAAGGCAGAACAAGTACCAATGACTGGAAGTTACAGCCAGACAAATTAAAAAAAATTTTTTGACAGAGGGAGTGATTAACTAGATAGCCACTGGAACAAACTACTAAGGAGAGAGGTATATTCTCCCTCTCTTGATGTTTTTAAATCAAGATGAGAAGATAGCTAACATACTCTTATATTGAGTCAAGTAACTTTGGTATCTGGATGAAATTCTATGGCTTATGTTATATAGATCAGACTAGATGATGTGAGGATCCCTTTCTGGCCTTAAAATCTATGAACTCATTATTTTATGAACATTCTAAATTATCTTAAATACTTCACTTACCTGAAAATTAGGCTGAAATACACAGCAATCAACAGTATTATAATGTCCCCTAAGCATAGTTATCAGTTCTCCTGAGTAGATTGTATAAACAGCAATGGTGCTACCATATGGTACAAATGCAAATTCTGGATCGCAGCCAGTAGAAGTGGTGAATTTGAGTCCTTTTCTGCTTTCATTACAGACTTTCCCATAGTTCACCTGTAGGATGCGAGATTAAGCTGTTAGCTATTATTATACAAAGCTAATTCTTGTGGTTTAAATTATTAAAACAAATTTAAAATTAAGGGTTAAATTTTCATTAAAGCAATGGTTAAGCAAGCACACTGCTACTTTGGAATTTAACACAACTCTGAGGTTCCCAAATGCATACACCTTATTTTGGGTTCCAAAGTTAATGAAAACAGCATAATGAATAGGATAAATTGTATTGAGTGGAAGATATGGGACAATGTAGTTTCTGTACTCTATTTGAAGTATAAGAGATCTCATTTATTCTCATTCTGAACAGGTGAGTGAGGGAATGGGTTTCAACTGGGATTGATAGGTGATATGTGTTGGGCAGGAGGCGTCCCAAGATCACAATATAAAGTATGAAAGGGTAGATTAGGTATGCTGATGGCATTTTCTGGTTGGTAAGTGGAAGATGATTACTAGTAAGAGCATTCATGGGATGGTATAATGGCCAGTATTAAGACTGTTTGTGGAACTTTAAATCTGGCTTTCTGGCTTTCAAACATTTAATTTTTTCCAAAGGCCAACATCTCAATAAGGCTATTTTAAGTTCAAATATATGTCTTTTTATCCATAACTATCTCAATTATTTTTTGTTTGGGAATTTCTTATAGTTGTTTAATTTTTTGATTAACTCTCATAATGGCAATATGTCAAATATTTCAAAAATTAGTCAAGTAAATGGATTTCTCTCTGACATTATAATTTGTTAGTGATTTAAAACCAAATGCTGGAATTTTAAATTAATGCATACAGGCTCTTTGGTGTTACTGCCAATCGTATAATCAGTTCTCTGCAAAATCACTGCTGAACAAAGAGTTCTGTGCAGGCCTTCTGATGCAAAACCAGTTACTTTCCCCATGGAATTTACAAGTAATTGTTTGCACATTCCTTGAACCAGAACTATTTACCTTCCAGAAATTAAAAGCTCCACCAAGCGTGTCTGTAGACACTTCTTAAATTGATGAACCAGAACCATGTGGCTTATGAAGTTAATAGATTAAGACTATTCCATGGAAGATTATATATTCTGCAAGACCTATGAAGAAGTTTCTAAGGACATCAAACATATGACAGAGGTCTCAGAGATTTATATTTTCATAGTTAAATCAAAAATTTACACCTAACCTTAAATAACATTAATTAAAACAGTTGTACAATTCTGGAATCTCTAACCAAGCTATTCTACAGATGACAATATAAAGAAGATTATTTTCACATTTGGAAAAAAAAAAATCACTTTCCCCATCCCCTCCAAAACTCAAAAATACAAAACAAAAATCACACACAGACACACACAAAATAACTTCTCTAACTTCATTTCCCCCAACATTTCTTTTCTGGCCAGAATTCACATACGAGAAATTTCAGGTTAAAAAAAATATTTCCACACTCATGGAAATGAGAGGAGGGTTGAAATCCAACTTGAATAATGAAAACAGGGTCACATTCTTAACTATAATAAAGTAGCTACCATTGCTCCATAATGCAGAAGTTGAGAGCGAGGGGGAGCTAGATAAATTAAGTCAGTGTGTGCATGGAAGCAGCCAATCAGAGCCCAGGAGGCTCAGATTAAAGGAGTTGCAGGGCCTTTGCAGGGTAGTTTGTGGCTGGGACCAGAGGGACAATGAAAGGTGCTCCTCTGTAGTCAATGGAGTTCGATTGGCTGCATTTGCATAAGCTGAGAGGGAGAGGACTTGAGAACTTTAACCTTAAGGCAGAGGTGCGATGGAACCTTTGGGGGAAGGGGGCGGGCAAGCCACCATGGGGGTTGTGGAGGGAGTGCCACCCAGCCCCTCCCCGCCCCCAGTTCTGCTCCAGCCCCAACTGCAGCCATGTCCCTGGCTCCTGGCCCCATCCCCAACCTCAATGTGGTTCCACTCCTGGCCCCACCACCGCCTGCATATGGGGCTGGGAATGGAGCCACACCTAGGCACGGGCTGGCTACCAGCCCCCACCGCAGATCGGCTGCCCTATATTCCCTCGAATGGGAGAGAATGAAATCATACAGGGCACAGATGCAGCCCCAACACAGACACTGCTGGTCAAAAATTCTGATCTTGTGCACATGAAGTGCATGCACATGGTTAGTGGGATCCACACAAAGAATGGTAGAAGTGGTAGACTTTGCTTCTGCTTTTGTATCAAAATCCCTAATCAAGAGTGCAAATACTTAGATATACCTCTACCTCGATATAACGCTGTCCTCGGGAGCCAAAAAATCTTACCGCGTTATAGGTGAAAATGCATTATATCGAACTTGCTTTGATCGACTGGAGTGCACAGTCCCACCCCCCCGGAGCACTGCTTTACCACGTTATATCCGAATTAGTGTTCTATCGGGTCGCGTTATATCGGGGTAGAGGTATATTCTCTCTTTTTGCATTCACTCATTTCTTTCCCAATAAGAAGATAACCTAGTTCTATAAGCCAAACTCTCCTTGCCAGCTCAAAAGGGATACCAATATTTACTCAGAATACAGAGTAACTCTTGTGGTACACTGTGAGAAAATGCCTCTCTCAACCTGCTCCATAACAAAGTCTACAAGCTGTGGAAAGCCAAAAATCACCCTCTTTCTGGAATTTTGACAGTATTATCAAAGACAAGTTTCAGCTCTAAGCCTTCTCCTTAGTCGTCGCTACTTCCAGGGCTCCTACCTCAGGGCTTCTCAGCCCACCTTTTATATACATTCTCTGGAGAAACACTCCCACCTCCCTCTGGGGTATGTCTTCACAGCAGAGTTAACACTTGGGCTCTTACTCAGGTGTTGCCCCTCACCCCCTTCTCATCCATGGGCAAAAGCTTCTCAACCGAGTTTAGTGGTGCTTTCAATCTGGGCCAGATCGCTTATATGGGGCTGTAGGCTAAAACGTGAGTGAGGTTTTCATTTGGGCTGGTAACCTACTCATTTTACAATGAGGATGCAGACTAAATCACATATCCCGCAATTCCCCACAATGTGCCCCGAAAAACATACAAGTTTTCCCACAATTCACTGGGAAAGAATAATAAGCAGGTCATCTTATGGTAGCACAAAGAAGCATGGGATATGCCCCTAGAAGTCTCAGCAACCCACATGGGTAAACATAGCACCTAAGGGTAGTACCAGTAACTCAGATATGACTTTGCAGTGTGGCTGCTCACACCCAGGCCAGGTTAAATCAGGTGCTCAGAACCTGGTGCCGATCAATTAATGCTGGTGCTGAATTAATGCTGCAGTGAAGACATACCCTTAGAATATCTAGGTTGGATATGAGCCATTTTGCCTCAGAAGGAACCCACTAATCTCTTCCCAGCAAGATCAACCCCTGCTAACAGGAAAATGCTGCCAGTTTTTCACGCTCACTTTAGGGCTTATCCTGTTCCCACTGACAGGAGTTGTCATTTACTTGAATGGGAGCAGGATTTGGCCCTCAGTTTGTACTTTTGGGTAGGGATTGCCATTTATACTTCTCTAAATTCTTAATCAAATGTTTTTAGAGTGTTCCGAAACTTTAATTTTACATTACTAGAGTTGTATTTTCATTGGGACTGTATATCTAATCCTCTCTAGGGAGAAGCTGCAGAAGCAGTTTAAAGCAGGCACGAGAGCACTGGGGGCAGGGAGAATAGAGAGATGAAGGATATAATCTGTATCCATACTGAAAGGTTGTTGTGATCTGTGATACCAGGCATTAGTTGTCCCCTACTGGATAACCCACTTCCTTGGTGCAATCTGCACAAAGGTGTCCTTTCGGGGTGGGGAGTGGGGAGATGGCCTTCAGGAATTGCCTAAAAAGGCCATTCAGGATCTGCTATGGGTGGAACCAATGAGAAGTGCCCTCCAGTAGCTAAAAGGGTTGGGAGGGAGCATGCAGAAAACAATAAGGGCCCACCAGGCTGCATAAAGAGGGCTAGCTGCAGCCTACTTCTCCCAGTGTGTGTCAAACTTATTTGGAAAGAGCTACACCTACTGACAAGAGATTAATTCAGTCTCCATACTTATTCAGTCTGTGGTGTGGACACCCACTCAGTGAAAAGACTGAGAACCAAATTCATTTCAGACAAGTTGCCAACAGATGTTAGTTCTTTTTGGTTACTGCCAGCCTGATCTGGATTTGAGCTACTGTCACAAATGAATGGTTTTATAGTCTCATTTTCAATCTGGTGGGCCATGCAGGCCCTTAGTTACTAATTTTCACTGGACAAAATGATAGAAAATAAATTATTTTGATTAAAGATATAGAGATCAACTGAGATTAGACAGCAGTGTCCAGCAGGAGATTTACTGCCAAAGCTAAATTATGTATCATAACTGGACCACTGGTCTATTACCCTCTTAAAAGTAACCAAGAAATGCAACTGAAGGTCCTTTAAAAACCTTACCAGTGTGTTTTCCCCACTGGAACTATTCCAGAGTCTCATCCGGTCATCTGTACCAATAGTCAGAAGATGAAGCCCATCACTTGTAAAGCATAAGCCGTTAACTCTTCCATTATGAGCAGTGTTTGCTGTCAGGAAAATATGAGCCTGTTCAGTTTTTTAGGGAAGATTTACTATTTTATTTTGTACACTTGTAGAACTGAATGCACTATTTAAATATTCAAACAACTTTCACTCAAGAATATATAAATGTTTATTTGAAAGCAACAAAGTTTCTTATGAAATATATATTGTAAAACCTTTGCATTTTGATACCAAGTGATGAAGTTCCTTATATGTTAGGTTCTATATGGTAAATGTATTATGTGTGTTTGAACATATTGCATTGAAAATGAGAGTAAACATACAGAAGTTTCAATGCCCTTTTCACTTTCTACAGATATCATGATGCTCAGATGACACTGCTCTACTGTTGATGTTACTGTAAAGTGCTAACGACGACTTCCAAAAAGGACCCAATCCTGAACTCTTTGGCAAAACATTGACTGACTTTAATGGTTGTCTTGGATCCAGAAAGAATGCAGGATCTGACACCATTTTAAAGGTTTACAAGTGTTTCTGTAGACAGCTTTTCCTCCATCCATAATAAAAATATATTTCTCTTTTACAGCATAAAATATAAGCTTTTTGTGAACATAATGTAAAAATTTGTCCAATGATCAGTTCTGTAGCACCCCGCCACAAAGATAGTTTACATCTACATTTTTTATATATGTAAAGAAGTCTTTTGCACATATTTAGTGTCCCACCCCGAGTTTGTAATTTGGAGTTTCCCTTTTACTTTGTTAAAACCGCTTTACCTGTTCTGCAAATTTTTTTGAAGAAATTAATGAGCTAAATTTATTTTACAGTTCTGATCTAGTATTTCAAATTTTTCTCTTGGATTTTTTCTTCCATTGTTCACTATTTCTTCCTCAGTTCCTATTTTAAAAACACCACAAACCTAACAGTTCTCATTAAACTATATACACACACACCTCAAAATTTGTCCTTCCAGAGAGGAAAAAAAATAATCAAGTGGGGAGCACAGGAATTAATTGTGTGTTTAAATTTCTAACATACAACAGTCATCCAAGAGAACAGATTTTCTTCCCCCCGGTCTTTGGCATTTCTAAAGCATCTCTCCCAGAGTTAAAAATCTTTGTACGTTCATTAATTCATTTTAAGACAATGTACACAGAAGTCCATTTGGTGGCACCCAAAAGTTGTAAGCTAAATTAAAAAGAAATTCTTAGTTCTCCCAGTATGTGGTCATTTCAATAACTTTGAGTGTCAATGACATTTTTAATTCTCAAAACCAAACATTAATATTCCATATATGCAACAGAGAACATGACACAGCACGTTAAACCACAGCCTACAAAACAAACTCAATGTTGTTTTATGTATAAATCCACCATCAGTATTTTCCTGAATAAAACTCTGATCCTACATGCTTAACTTTACACACTGTAATTAGTCCAATTTATGGGACTGCTCACAGTGTTTAAATTTAGGCACGAGTTAATCTTTTCAGTATTAGGATTACAGACTCAGTCTTTTACTTTGTTTTTAATTAAAACATCCTTTTTCGTTTCAGAAGCTGCTTTATGAGATCTAATATTTGGTTTTGTTTGCCCAGTGTACGGAACTTTGATCCAGAATTAATCCAAACTAATTTCTGAACTACAATTTAAAGTATAGTGCTATTCCTTTAATTTAGTTTGCTTCCCAAGTGCAGAAATTGTGTTTAGCTGCATTCGTATAAAATGTTATAATATATGGAGATATACCTATCTCCTAGAACGGGAAGGGACCCCGAAAAGTCATAGAGTCCAACCTGCCTTCACTAGCAGGACCAAGTACTGATTTTGCCCCAGATCCCTAAGTAGCCCCCTCAAGGATTAAACTCACAACCCTTGGTTTAGCAGGCCAATGCTCAAATCACTGAGCTATCCCTCCCCCGTAATAATGTTAATAATGTTAATAATTTAACCAGGGCATAATTTAGTATATTCCAGGACCTAGTCACCTTTGTTAGTATTCGAGTAACACATAATTTAGCATTAAGCAAAGTTAAAAATAAATTTTGAATTTTATAACTAATCTAATACATATATGTCTTGCTTAGTATAGATGAATATATCTAATAATAGAGAGCTCTTTAATCTAAAAGACCTAAGCATAACAAGATCCAGTTGCTGGAACTTGAAGCTAGACAAACAAAAATATGCACACATTGTTTAACAGTAAGGGTAATTAACCACTGGAACAACTTATCAAGGGATGTGGTCAATTCTCCATTATTTGAAAACTTTAAATTCCCATTGACTTCAAACAAAGCCAAGATTTCATCCAGTATGCCTTTAAAAAAAGGTATGTTCTAGTTCAGCCCCAAGTTACTGGGTTTAACGGAGGAGTTACCAGGTGAAATTCTATGGCCTGTGTTATGCAAGAGATCACACTAGATGACCACAATGGTCATTTCTTGCATTAAAAACTGTGATGGTATGAAACTCAAGAATGCTTCTAGGTAAATATGTAGCATATCACCACTATCATATTTCCGTTATAAATATATTCTTTATTACCTGCTTCAGAAGATGCTTTTGACTTCTCCCCATTGTACTGATCAAGAGTAATCAGACATCCAGATGCTCTCCTTACATCCCAGAGTTTTACTCTACTGTCAGCACTAAGAAAAATAAATTGTATGGATTTATTAATTAGAGAAACTGCCTCCAAACATCCCCATCTCTTGCTGTTATGGGTCCAGTAGATGTTCCCATTTTGGGCTGGATTCTGCCCTGACTTACACCTTGTGCTATCACATTCAAGCTAATGAGAATGCAGAGTGGACATCAAGGCAGACTTTGAACTTCTTGCTCATCAACACAATGTCTGAATAACTAGTACAATATTATTGTACAATATTATTAACAAGTACAAGTACATTAACAAATAGAACATGGTTGCAAAAATGCCAAGGAACAAGATACGAGTCTATCTAGTCCTTGGAGGAACAATATGCCCATGTAATTAAAAATAACAGCATAAAAGCATAAAAGCAGGAAAAGATTAATTGTGTCCCTATGCTGTTTTTTCTCCTTATGGTTTTCTTCTGCTAATGTTGCACACTGAATGTATGCTGAAAAGGCAGCAGTGCACCAACTGAAAGTAGCAGCTTTTCATTTTGAATATGAATTAGTGGTACCAAGTATTTCCAACAATGTTTTTTGTGTAAAAATAGATTTGGCTTAATAAAGGCAGCAGCATATTTTGCCTTCAGCTGAGAATATTAAAACACACACTTGTTCTGGAGGAGAGACCCCAAATTGTACCCACTCTATATAATGCATATTTATGGTGACACAAAGTCTACTTGATTTCACATACATACATACACAAACAAGAAAAGAAAAAGAAGGCTAACAACAAAATTTAACTATAAGAAAATGTTCTGCATTCCTGAGTAAATAAGATAAAAATTGATGCCCCAACATTTTGCTCTGCAGCTCTTATAGATTTATTATTTATTCATTCAGATAGGCTTTATCTTCCCTATTCTTGAAGACAGGTCATACATTTACAAGAATCTGTCTCTGTCCGGATTCCTATAATTTCAAAAATAGTGTCCAGTCACAAAAAGTGAGTGGAGGGACACAGTCCAGTGTAGCTTGTCCATGATCTCAATGTAGCCAGTAGGGAAAACATGTTTTTTAAAATGGAAATATTAAGCAAAAGACACAGCAGTGGCTATTTTCCTTAGGTTCACAACCTGACAATGCACAGCTGTACCATAACAGCATACTTCCAAGTTAGCCAAAATTTGTTTTTTTCCAAATTTTTTATTTCAGCTAAAATTTTTGGCTGCCTAAAGTGTAAACACCTGTAGCTTCACAGATTTCCAGGTATACTGAATTATAGTGAAAACAACAGGAGCTACAGGTAACCAGCAACAGAAAATTCTCTTCCCAGCAGAGGGCTCTCTGAATGCTTTATGTCAAGCTCAGAGAATCTGGTTAAATGTGTTATTCACTTCTGGGGTCAGTACTGGTTGAATGTTAGTAAATCTGAGTAACTTCCCTGGGAAAGCAAACCTTTGCATTCATCTTGAGAGAATCTCTACCTGAAAATATAGATATTTAAATGCATTCATTGTAGTTGCTAAACAACCTACAAGATTTGAGATACATCATGCACCACTAATAGAAGTTTAAAAAAAAAATGTAGAACTCTCTTTCCCTCTTCTTTAAACCTGTTGTTTACAGTAACCATGTGCTGGTGACTGGCTCCCTCTGTGCTGGGTGTCTTACAACATGAGTGCTGAGGAAATGCTTGTTTAAACAGGCATAGCTTGCTGCATGCTTTGAAGGGGGTGAGACTCATGGTCTCCTGTGGGAAGCATGTTCCATAACCATACGTCCTTCACCAAGGATGCTGTCACAAATCCACATTGAAACTTGAGCTTTGTGTGTCCCCCACTGAGCACAGCAGTCATTCAAATGACTTGAGACACAGGCAGTTGCCAAGATACCGTAATTATGTTTTAGCTCATTGAAAGATTAAGAGAACAACAAGAACCTTAAATATGATTGGCAGCAAGCACAGTAAGAAGCAGCAGTGTAATAGTTTAATGCTGGTCAACGCTGCATAAAATATGGGCTTCAACCACCCCAGTTTCTTGATGGCTCCTTGGGTTGTCTGAAATAGAGTAACAGCTGTCTACTCCAGTGGAGACAGATTTGTGAATCAGTGTTACAAGGTCTATTTCAGATGTGACTGGACATAGTCAGGTGGCCAACTGAAAGTGCTAGAAGGCATTTCTGCTCAGAGCTGCTACATTGATATTTAGAAGTAGTAAGGAAGTCAGCAGGACATGGACTGCTTAAACACTTTGAACTCTTGGAATGAAATGCCTTCAACAAGGGGTAAAGTTATCTTAAAAAGACAAAAGGAACTCATGAAAGAGGCCTGAGATGGAACTCAGTTCATAACTAAATTTGGAAACACCATATGAACCCTTTCAAAGGGTTATTAATGTTCAGAACATGACAGCTTTACAAGCTGAAATCTGATGGATCATATACATTTTTTCTCTCTTCTCTGAAAAGCTTCTCCACTTTTGTACCGATAATCAGCCTGTTTTTCTACTGCAGCTAGATAGTTCTTCACCAAGTTCCTACAAAGCAGTATTCTTGAAGAAAGATGAAGGTTCTCTCTCTGTCCTTTGTAAATGTATCCTGGGAGAAAGTCACCCTTAGCAGGTCATCCATCAAGAAACATACATAAATCATATCTTTGGTCTGATTTCTCAAGCCCCACATCTTCTCATTTCCTTTGTCAATAGTGAACATCTAACGCTACCATTTGTCTTCTTCTCCCTCTTATCTCTGCTCCTTCTTCTAGCTACTTCTGTGTGTCTAACACAGCGGGCAGGATTTAACCTGGGACCTCTGAAACTTAGTATATGAGCCTCTACTGCATGAGCTAAAAGCTCAGGCTGCAGCAGACTCATTAATCTCTAAGTGGTCTAGGTGCCACTAGCGGAGGACAGAGCTCCACACCCAGCAGGCCTGGGTTACATATGTATGGACAGACATGCCACTCCAAGCATCTATCAGATTTCCAGATCATTTGTAAAAAGATTTTTTTAAGTCTTTAATGTAGATTGGTGTTTGTGAACCTTGTCAGTCAATTGTTCTTTGCACCTCTACATTTTCATGAACAAAAAGAGAGAACAATAAAACAAAAACAAAACAATTCTAAGTACCTGCCTTGGCATCTGCAAGTGTATTTTTATCTTGTTTGTGACTTCCTTCTAAATGGCAAACTCATTGGGACAGGTGTCACAGTTCACGGCAACTGCACCCGTATTTCCCCGCAGTGGTTCAGGATTCTGTGTCAATGTACAGAAACCATAGACTGGGTGCTGGGCCTGGCTTCCCCGCATTTGTACAGATAGTATGGGACAGATCGATGCTGAGATATCACTTTGATAAATTAAAGAAAACAAAAGCCCACCGCCCCAAAAGCGCACCCACGCTCAGGCTTCCAGCTCCCCACCCATTGCCTTTCTTGGGTAAAGACCCACGTCTCTTTCCCTTCTGTCTAAGTATCTCCTGGTTAAAAAACAGTTCTCTGCCTTCATTGTGTTATTCTTAGCAAAAGACTCTGCCTAAGCAGGACTGCTTACTTTCTCTTCAGAGACTAACAAACAGGAGTGATTGCCAACAATTATAAGTTACCACACAACACTTCTTATGTAAGCCTACTTTATTCTTAAGATAACAGCACTACAGAAACAACAAGGAGTCTGGTGGCACCTTAAAGACTAACAGATTTATTTGGGCATAAGCTTTCGTGGGTAAAAACCTCACTTCTTCAGATGCATAGAGTGAAAGTTACAGATGCAGGCATTATATACTGACACATGGAGAGCAGGGAGTTACTTTGCAAGTGGAGAACCAGTGCTGACAGGGCCAATTCAATCAGGGTAGATGTAGTCCACTCCCAATAATAGATGAGGAGGGGTCAATTCCAGGAGAGGAAAAGCTGCTTCTGTAATGAGCCAGCCACTCCCAGTCCCTATTCAAGCCCAGATTAATGGTGTTAAATTTGCAAATGAATTTTGGCTGTAGACAATGGATCGTGTGATGAGTCTTGGATGGAAGCTGGAGGCATGTAGGTACGTATAGCAGTCAGTAGGTTTCCGGTATAGGGTGGTGTTTATGTGACCATCACTTATTTGCACTGTAGTGTCCAGGAAGTGGATCTCTTGTGTGGACTGGTCCAGGCTGAGGTTGATGATGGGGTGGAAATTGTTGAAGTCCAATCCTCAGCTCTCGTCCCCTAGTGCCCCTCCTCTACTTGCGCTACATTGATGACATTTTCATCATATGGACCCACGGAAAGGAGGCCCTTGAAGAATTCCACCTGGACTATGTACCTACATGCCTCCAGCTTCCATCCAAGACACATCACACAATCCATTGTCTACAGCCAAGCCCTAAGATACAACCGAATTTGCTCCAACCCCTCAGACAGACACAAAACACCTACAAGATCTTTATCAAGCATTCTTAAAACTACAATACCCACCTGGGGAAGCGAGGTAACAGATTGACAGAGCAAGACGGGTACCCAGAAATCACCTACTACAGGACAGGCCCAACAAGGACAATAACAGAACACCACTGGCCATCACATACAGCCCCCAGCTAAAACCTCTCCAGCGCATTATCCACGATCTACAACCTATCCTGGAAAATGATCCCTCACTCTCACAGACTAAATTTGTAGATACAGACTAACACGGCTACCCCCTGATACTTGACACCATGCAAGGCACTAAATTTAGCCGTATG